AAGAATGTGAGAATTTTGGCGGAATTTCGACTTTTTCCCGCTGAAAAAGGACCTTGTTCAAAAGTGCATTATTAAAGTACTGTATATGTTACATTTTTACAGAAACCGATCTTTTACAGAAACCAATTTTTGTACAAGAGTTTTGTGAACATCAAATCTAAAACCAACACCTTTTTCCCAAAGATAGAAATCCTCGTTTCATTCCTTGTTTTGTTATCAATAATTTGAGAATCCTAACGAGACTTTTTTAGTTCTGCGGCCACATGTTACATTACCAGTGAGATTAGCTCAACGCGGTGAGTTCTGGCAACCCGGATCACGGACTTTCTGATTGGTGAAACAATGGAGGGCGGGACATCCAAATGAAAACAATAACAAGATTTATGGGCTGTAAAACTAATTTTAAATTCAAATATCTCGGCTGAACTACTGTTATCAGTATTCAAAAAGAGCATGTTTTATTAATACCTTTTGACATAGTACGGCCATTTAATGATGAATTGACATGAACATCTTACATATGCTACTTAAACCAATACAGCCATTATTTTAAATGTCTCATTTTATTGTGATAAGAGAACCTTTACTCTTCCCACAGTAGGAGCAGTATAGCAGGATCACCATAGCAAGATATTTGGAATATTTAGAGAATTACACAAATGCCACTCACTGGCGCTGCTGTGAGTGGCAACTTCTCTTTGTTTATTCTCAGCTGCTCTTCATCAAGGGGTTAGAGGTCCTAAACCGATTCCCCCGAGTGAGAGCTGTGTTCATGAAATACAACAACCCAATGTGTACATGCTCTATGGCATTTTGATCATAAAGAGCATGATAGAAATATCTGTTATGATCTTCATAGTAGAACTTCCACAATAAATGTAAGAACAGTTAGGTTTAAAGTCGACCATAACAGTAACGTAAAATTAACGAGTAACGTAATTTGTAGTCACAGGTAACGTAACTTAGTTACTAAAGAAAATAACTAAGTGAAGTAACAGATTACTAGTAACGAGAAAAGTTACTTTTTAAAAGTAACTTCCCCGACACTGTCAGTAGTACAAAGTAACATCACTTTTTATGGTATCAAACAGTTATACTCATTTTTATCAACATATTTTCAAAAATACTACTTTTCTTTGGATCCATACTCGGTTAAGTCTAGTTTTGAAACTAGTTTAAGAATCAACAAATATCTGATTTCAAATACTTTTGACAATCTCATAGGCCTATGGACAGAAGGAATATACAGAGTCAGATCTCAGTGAATATCAGATGCAAAACGATATTTTACCCGCTGTCGCGGGTAATTTTGACCAAAGGACAATGTGCGCCAAACTGCATCAAATGAGATATGAAACTGGTGTGAACAACAAAAATATGACAGATCAATGACTGTGAGCTTGAAGATCTTCTTTGTCCCATGTTTGATTTGCGAAGGACATCGTTCACAAGTCATTCAAATGATTAAAACAGTGTGTTGTGTTGATCAAAGAATTATAAACATAATGTGTTAATTAATATTTATTTACACTTGATTATGTACCAATAAAATTGAGGCCAAAACCCACCAAAAATGTAGAGTGTTTGTTTCCTCCACTGGCCCTCTTAGAGCGCTCCCCTGGTTCATATTCTCGCTCTAAAAATAGCTCCGCCCGCCACAGTTGTAATGTTTTTGTAGCTTTCGACCAGCTTTGAATGGTTCCCGTCTGGCTCTTCCCCTGGTCCAAATTTAGAACGGAAAGCATCAATCCAGCAAAATGTAGTGCTGAGGATGGCCCCAGGCTCCCCAGTGAGTGATCAGGCTGCCGGCTTTGTTTCATTCACAATTTTCTACTCCACACACAGACGGGGGAGGAGAAGAGAAAGAGTAAGAGGGGGTGGGTAAACAAAGGCCAATTTGTTTGTTGGCCAAGCGGAATCCTAGGACGTCCTTCCTTATTGAACCGTGAGGAACGTTTGAAGAAGATGACATAGTCTGGGATCGCGTCTTTAATTCAGACCGAAGACATGTTTTATTGTCGATGGTAGAGACAGCACGAACAACACGAACACAGATACAACAGAATGCAAACTGTGTATTATACAGAGCGGAGGCATGGAGACCTCCAATCAGCAGCTTCCACGGTGCCATGTAGCTTGGCCTTCAGATAGACAAAACAAGGGAAAAGTACTGGCTTCTACACATTGATAGAATGATGAGTTTAACTTTAACAAAAGTTGCTTAAAAGTGTTATGAAATCTCACAGGTTACATGCAAAATAGTGGGAATTAATTTTATTAATACATTTATATTAGCAATCTTTCCTGATAAATGGGAGGATCATGGACCAAATGCTGTGAAAGATTCCCAAAAGTAGTACATGTCCAGGGTTTAAGATAATCACGCAACATCAGGGCTGGGTTACACTTAACAGTATAAATAGCATTTTGCCTTTCAGGACATCCAAGTTTAGCAATTCATCATTCACTCACACACAGTAATTACTCTCATAATAAACTACACCTTATTAATCCCCAATTTTGCATTTGTCCCATCCTGTAATGCCACTAGGACCTTTGTTAGGGCATGGTCACATAGGTTTTTACAAACGAACTAGGCCAAGTGGCCAGGATCGTCACCACAGGGGTGTGAAGACGGCCCGCGGTTACAAGGGTTTATTTTTTTAACCGTGCCAGCCCAAGTGTGGTGTAGTACAACACTCAGTCCAGCTGGTAGCACGTTTACTAACTTCAGTGACTACCTTGAGATCCGAGTTAAGTTTTCGTTTCTCTTCCTGCTTACATTCGGCTACTGTGGCCACAGCTCGAGCATGGATTGCGTTCTTTGCATCAGAGTCAATGTAAACAAGTGTGAGATGTGTCTTTCTCCAGTCTGTAGTAGCTCAAAGTAAACGGAGCGCTGAGAAATGAATGAATGAGAATGAAAGAATGAAAAGTGTGGCGTACGAGCAGAGCATCAAAAGCCAGGCGGGAATGTGAATGTTTGTGTGTTTTGGTGACAAAATAAAGCTCTTTGGGGGCTCACATGAAAGGTGTAACACAGGCAATGGAGAGTATAGAATGCAAAAGTATGCGACTGCAGGTAGACACGTGTGTGAAAATGCACGTCACAGCAGGCGCCGCAGGAAGACGTAATGTGACGTGGTCATGTCCCCACTGCACCTCTAGATGTTAAATAATAATAATGATAATAACCAGGGACTGCAGATGGAAACTAACTGTTTAGCTATAATCTTATGCAGAACAAATCTGTCTTTGATCTTAATGTCTCTGTACATTGAATCTTCAAATAAAGACAAAATAAAAAAATTGTATATCGTACTTATTAGCGCTTTTTGGACACTTGTGAACAATGGACAAACGCAGACATAACATGGAAGTGATCAAGTCATAGCGACTTCAGTTTTGCTTCTGTTGTTGCGACTATATTAACACCTGGGTTGGTCGATAAAACGTAAAATGGGACGTAAAATGACGTATAAACTGCACTTTACTTCACTGTACTGCTGTCACCTTACATTGTGTGCACCATGTGCACTGTATGTAGTATATAGTAATTGTAACTGTACTTTAATTTTAATTTTATTCCTTAGAAGTGTTTTTTATTCTTTTTATCTTATCTTATTCTCTCTCTCTGACTGTTGCACCGAGCCAAAGAAATTTCCAAGTCTGTGACCGCCTGTTACTTACGTGGCAATAAAAATGATTCTGATTCTGATTCATTCTTAACGTTGTAAAAACTCTGAAACTGGAATAAAAGGCCCAGGTCAAGTCTGTCAAGTTCCAGAGAGTGGGGGCAGCTGCAGCAAAGGCTCGCCCTCAAGGTTCAGACGGCTGAGTCCCCAAAGGTTAGGCACTTGTTTTGATGGGAGGGATGTTGATGCTTAGTTTATAAGTTTATAAGCCTATTAGCCGTACCTATTCTACATGTTTTCAGAGGTAGGGGAAATGGGAGTGCCCCAAAAAAATAATGCAAACGCAGGAAGAACATGCAATTTCTCCTCAGTCTGGAGGTGGAATTATACCCATAGAACAAGAGTACTAATCACTCGTCCATTGTGCCAACCAATTTACAGCAAGCCAAGAAGAACTGATCCAACGGTCAATGCTTCCAACACAAAGAAATCAGCATGGCCAGAAAACACCAAACTTTATCAACATTTGCCACATTTCTATCAATCAAACGTCCATGCCTTAATCATTTCATATTTTATTATATTAATGTACGTATTATGAATGGATTAAATCTGTGGCTACAAAACAAAATTGGTGCTCCGTGTCAAAATACAAGTTTGTTTTGCATAGGAAGAGAATGAAACGAGTGTGTGTCACTAAACCAATGAAATTAGAGGCTAGAAATTTCCCCACAGCCGACTGCTTCTGTCATATACGGTTTTTGTTTTGTTTTTTTACCAATGTGGGTCTCTGGTGAAGTCATGTCCTTGTTTCCTGCAATAGATGGACCGGTTTGATTCATACTGCTTAACATTCTAGGAAAACAATAGTAGTGACAATAAAATAGCAGCCTTTCTATCAGTATAATGAAAGGCTGTATTGTATAGTGCACTAGTTACTGAAAAAAGACTAGTAACGCCATTATTCCCATCACTGGTGGTTTGTGATCACAAACTCATGTTTCCTATACACCCAGAAAGTTGTCTATTTTATGTTTAGTTTTTATATTTGGTCTTGTAGCAGCTTGATTAATTAGCTGTTGACTGAAAGAGTTCTGCAGTGTGTAAAGTTTAATTCCATCATTTCTGGCTTAAAAATCTGACGGTTAAATTGTAATGTACTGTAATGAGTGAAATGATATCCATTCAACTATGATTTATCTTGTAGCCCACATTTGGGAGTATGTCAGACCTCCCATGAATAAAAATGTTTATTTACAACCATAATTAGTTTCAGAAGTGCAATAATAAGGAGACTAAGATCAGCGCTTTGTGATCCTGGTCTGTGAAAGGCACTATACAAATATACTTTACTTACTTACTTACTTAAACTTGTGGCATGTGTCGGCTGCAGACATTGTGTATTGTTGAGAACAGCTGCTGTCAACCACAGACTGTTTTATATAGATCCAAAACTATTGCGAGTGGACGTCAGGACACTGCTGGACCGCGCTCTGTCTGGATATAACATTATTTTCTTCATTTTTGAAGTGTGATGAAATGAGGCATCAGGGGAGTGTGCATGTGTGTGTCAGCTGCCTAAAACATGAGTTTGTGGTTTGCCGTGTTGGGTATGTTACTTTGAAAAAGTAATTAGTAGTTACTAGTTACTTCTCCCAAAAAGTAACTGAATTACTAACTGAGTTACTCCACTATAAAGGTAACTAGTTACCTGAAAAAGTAATTGCGTTACTTTTTCGATTCGTTCTGGAACATAATGTGCACTCGACGTGCACATTTTTACCTTTAACCTCAGTGAGTCTGAAATAGTGGCGATATTTCCATCTGGAAAAGGTTGTTTTGCTGCTGAAGTCCTCCTCACTCCCCATCTTTCTCTGTGTGCTGTAAGCGCTAAACACCAACACTGTGAATGTGGAAACACCAATGACGTGTGGTGAGGTTGGTGAATGGTGAGGCACTGACTTCACCCCAATCAGATGTACAGTGCCTTGCGAAAGTATTCGGGCCCCTTGAACTTTTCAACATTTCGCCACATTTCAGGCTTCAAACATATAGATATAAAAATAATTTTTTTGTCAAGAATCAACAACAAGTGGGACACAATCGTGAAGTGGAACGAAATTTATTGGATAATTTAAACTTTTTTAACAAATGAAAAACTGAAAAGTGGGGCGTGCAATATTATTCGGCCCCTTTACTTTCAGTGCAGCAAACTCACTCCAGAAGTTCAGTGAGGATCTTCGAATGATCCAATGTTGTCCTAAATGAATGATGATGATAAATAGAATGCACCTGTGTGTAATCAAGTCTCCGTATAAATGCACCTGCTCTTTGATAGTGTCAGGGTTCTGTTTAAAGCGCAGAGAGAACCATGAAGACAAAGAAACACACCAGTCAGGTCCGAGATACTGTTGTGGAGAAGTTTAAAGCCGGATTTGGATACAAAAAGATTTCCCAAGCTTTAAACATCTCAAGTAGCACTGTGCAAGCAATTATATTGAAATGGAAGGAGTATCAGACCACTGCAAATCTACCAAGACCCGGCCGTCCCTCCAAACTTTTATCTCAAACAAGGAGAAGACTGATCAGAGATGCAGCCAAGAGGTCCATGATCACTCTGGATGAACTGCAGATAACTACAGCTGAGGTGGGAGAGTCTGTCCATAGGACAACAATCAGTCGTGCACTGCACAAATCTGACCTTTATGGAAGAGTGGCAAGAAGAAAGCCATTTCTCAAAGATATCCATAAAAAGTCTCGTTTAAAGTTTGCCACAAGCCACCTGGGAGACACACCAAACATGTGGAAGAAGGTGCTCTGGTCAGATGAAACCAAAATCGAACTTTTTGGCCACAATGCAAAACGATATGTTTGGTGTAAAAGCAACACAGCTCATCACCCTGAACACACCATCCCCACTGTCAAACATGGTGGTGGCAGCATCATGCCTGCTTTTCTTCAGCAGGGACAGGGAAGATGGCTAAAATTGATGGGAAGATGGATGGAGCCAAATACAGGACCATTCTGGAAGAAAACCTGTTGGAGTCTGCAAAAGACCTGAGACTGGGACAGAGATCTATCTTCCAACAGGACAATGATCCAAAACATAAAGCCACATCTACAATGGAATGGTTCACAAATAGACGTATCCAGGTGTTAGAATGGCCAAGTCAAAGTCCAGACCTGAATCCAATCGAGAATCTGTGGAAAGAGCTGAAGACTGCTGTTCACAAACGCTCTCCATCCAACCTCACTGAGCTCGAGCTGTTTTGCAAGGAAGAATGGGCAATAATTCCAGTCTCTCGATGTGCAAAACTGATAGAGACATACCCCAAGCAACTTAAAGCTGTAATTGCAGCACAAGGTGGCGCTACAAAGTATTAGCGCAAGGGGGCCGAATAATATTGCATGCCCCACTTTTCAGTTTTTTATTTGTTAAAAAAGTTTAAACTATCCAATAAATTTCGTTCCACTTCACGATTGTGTCCCGCTTGTTGTTGATTCTTTACAAAACATTTAATTTGTATATCTTTATGTTTGAAGCCTGAAATGTGGCGAAATGTTGAAAGGTTCAAGGGGGCCGAATACTTTCGCAAGGCACTGTACATGTATAGCATCTAAATCAACAGGACCTACAGAGCGGCTTATTCACAATTTGTTTGGCTACAGCAGAATATGTTGGATGCCCGCATTGTTTGCTCATACAAAATGCAAACGTATGAAAAAGCACATTTAAAAGTGTGTTATGAGCCTTAGCTTATAAATGACCTGCACAGAGCAGTTTCATGTTTAAGTCCAGATAATAGTTTGAGCGTAGATATGTAATCCTCCATGTGGAAACAAGTCCAATGAGTTTTAAAAAGTAAAACAAAACGGGTGTCTCTTCCATCAACTCCTCTCGTGTTTCACTAGCGGCAGCCGAATCTCGGGTGCATCCAATTTCTAAAACCAACCTTCTTACCCTTCACCTCTCTTTCTCATCATTCCTATCGTCATTGAAACATTACCCTAAGTGCATTTTAAATTATCTCAAAATGATGTTTTATGTATGTTAACCAAACCTGTAGCTGCCCTTAGCGGATGAAGAACAAAAAAGGAGCTTTCTGATGGAATCAGATGCAGCCGAATTTTGCGCTCACATACGCCCCCTGAGGTTGGCCTCACTTGGTGACATTACAAGCTGTGGTTGAGCGCGAGTAAAGACCCATATTTGTTTCAAAAACCCAATTTATGAGCCATCCTCTCTGTTGTAGAAATATAGATTGTAAAGGAAATATGTTTTACATCAGCCAATAATTGCTGAGAGGTTATCTCATCCTCCTTTCTCTCATGACAACACAAGTCCTATCATAAAGTAACAAAAAAAGTTCATTGTGCGACTTGAGTAACGGGGTGTCGGCAATGATAACGGCGTTATAATTACAGTCAAAGTAATTAGTCAGATTACTTGTTACTGAAAAAAGACTAGTAACGCCATTATTCCCATCGCTGGTGGTTTGTGATCACAAACTCATGTTTCCTATACACCCAGAAAGTTTTCTATTTTATGTTTAGTGTTTATATTTGGTTTTGTAGCAGCTTGATTAATTAGCTGTTGACTGAAAGAGTTCTACAGTGTGTAAAGTTTAATTCCATCATTTCTGGTTTTTCATATTGCAGAGCGTTTTGGTCATCTGTGCTTAAGTTTCACATGTGTCACTAAGACAACGAGGCCTCTCACAAGGGTTTGGTCTCTGATCTAACCGAATCCAATGTTCAGACAAAACATTGCAAACAAGACCGCGTCATAGTTTTTTTTACACCCCTAGTCCAAACTGCTTAAAACTGACTACAGAGGTTTTGTAATGTTTTGTCTGAATATGAAAAACCAGAAATGATGGAATTAAACTTTAAAATGTTCCACGTTCTTTGAAATAACAGCCACGCACTTTTCATGAGTGCAGCTATATGTTCTACTGAATCGGAGCCGAGCGGAGCAATACCTGCAACTTCAGCACCTTTGCGCACAAAGAACTTTTTAAATCTTCACATTCTCCTGTACTGGGTTAAAGATTTTTAGCAGCAAACGACGGCTTGTCCACTTGGTAAGAGCAGCGAGTGACGAGCCGCGTCTCGCAGGTCTCCTCTAAAGTTTAAATACAAACTTGTGGTGTGTGTGGAGCTGATCTAATGCCAAGGACCATGTTCCATGTGGTTTGACTGGAGCCGCATATTTGTGAGGATCCTTTGGGCTGCGTGACACAGAGGAGCGCAAAAGGCCGGAATGTGTCCTATGTATGCTCCAATGTAATTCTAACCTGCACAAGTGTGCAACTTTGGCGGACTAGTAACAGATGGGAGAGACGGCCGAGAGTATGGATGATGCCTGTGGATGTTACGTATGAATGGAACGGGGGTAAGGGTGCGCGAGTGTGGAATGGCGTGCATGCATGTGTGTGTGCAGGCGTGCGTGCACGTGTGTGTGTGTGTGTGTGTGTGCGGCGCGCCGGCCCGTAGTTTACTAATGCATTGGTGCTAGAGACGGACCCGCTCCGTCACACCGTGCGATACTAAATACTAATCAAAAGCTGCTCTAAAAAGGTGCGTCTTGAGCCTACTCTTAAAAATATGAACGTTCTCTGCGGCCCTGAGCTCCTCCGGCAGACTGTTCCAGAGACGGGGGCCGTAGTGCTGGAAAGATGCCTCGCCGTGAGTGTGTGTCCTGACTTTGGGGATGGTTAGGAGTCTGCTGCCGGAGGAGCGCAGGGGCCGGGAAGGCTCATAGGATAAAAGCAAATCTGAAAGATAAGAAGGCCCAAGACCATTAAGACATTTAAAGACCATTAAAAGAACCTTAAAATCGATCCTGAAACACACGGGGAGCCAATGCAGCGATTTTAAAACCGGTGTTATGTGGTCCCGCCCCCTGGTCTTAGTCAGGACACGTGCGGCCGAGTTTTGAAGCCTAATTGTAAACCTGAAATGTTCTTTTTGGGAAGACCAGAGAGCAGGGCATTACAGTAGTCAATGCGACTGGTGATAAAAGCATGCATCAGCGTCTCCGTGTTGGCCCGAGAGAGAATGGGGCGGACTCTGGCGATGTTCTTTAAATGATAAAAACCTATTTTTGTGATGTTCTTGATGTGAGGAATAAAAGTCAGCTCAGAGTCAAAGATTACGCCCAGGTTTTTCACTTGTGATGATGGATTAAAAGAGTGTGATTGGAGTTTCGGTAAAAGTTTCTCTCTCTGGGCCTCAGGACCGATGACTAAAACCTCAGTTTTGTCCTGGTTGAGCTGGAGAAAGTTTTCTGCCATCCAGGATTTCAGGTCTAAAATGCAGTTAAAAAGAGCATCCATTGGCCTGGTGTCGTCAGGAGACATGGAGATGTACAGCTGTGTATCATCTGCATAACTGT